TGCTTTTTATAAATTGACTAGATTTGTCAATCGTGACAAAACAATGTGCGCTACGTGATTCAGGGTATATACCACAGGAATCCTGAAGTCAAATGTCATTCTTTTAGACGAGTTTTAACCGGTTACATTGCGACACACTCTTCATTGACTATATTACAGTATTGATTGTCCTTCCTCCTTAAATCTTCACACAATCTTGGACGCCAAACTTGCATTCTCCCATAACGATGTTGTTTACAACAACCGGCGTAAACGACCTTCGGGGCGCCATCAAGCAGTGAGCGTCGCGACCGTCCTGTTCAGAATGACGTCAATCCAACGGGCACTGCCATAAATAGAACCTACACAGAATCACACTAACATCACCTACCCGCAATCGATTCACATTCAGCGCCCAGACTGTAGATACACACTCCCACACCAAAACCCAACAGCGCCCTTTGGACAATTTAATATAACCCTTATTGAAAACAAGCTACCAACAACCATATAATATCCTTTGGAAAAATGCCGTTCTTAATACTTTTAACAGCCTTAATTTTTTCGCTAAACTTGATTTGATTCATTTTAAATACTTTTAAAGACCCCCGCGGACCACCCTGTGGTTGTTTAATTATGTTGTAGAGTTGCTGGAGATAGTTTTTATTGACACAATAATTACAATTGTAGACATCTGTTTTCTTTACCTTCACTCCATAAAATAAGGCTTATCGTACCTGAGGGCCCTATATTCAACGTGTTTGTTTTGTATTCATCAAAACCAAATCTCAAGCTATTCCCCACGTTATATGTATACTACTTGTAGAGCCATGGCATGTTAAAATCATCATTAACCAGGGCACAACTGTTCCCTTTACATATGTTTCCTTGGTGGTTACAATAAGACAAAATGAAACGTTAATTGAAATGTTTTTCGTTCGCTCAAACTGTAACAATTATAAAACATAGCTGTACTAATAGCCTGGCTGCAAGGGCCAATTAATAGAATGAATACAACATGGTTTAGATCCGACAGCTACGACAAGCTAACCGGGACATTGTCTCGTCTAAATGAACACCCCTCTGTTAATTGAAAAGATAATAAAATTCAAAGCTGTGTGCCAAAACAAGACAATGGCTCTAGTTTTCTTGCTTTAATGGATCCTCCAGACGGCTTGTTTTGATACATCGCCATCTCATTTCACAAAGCAATTCTAAGAGCACTGGGTTTCAATAAAAGCCATGGCAATGTTAAGTGTCTTACTCTTCCTCTTTTAAAAGGACAGATGATGAAGTCCACCCGCCTTCCGGATCTGACACCACATACGAGCAGACCAATACCACTAATATAATAGACACATCGAGTAGGGGAAAAGGGAACGTTTACGGGCTTCTGCAGCAGACAGTGCTGTTTAAGGGAGACTGTGACCTTTAATATGTGTATGGTAACGTAAAGTCCTCCCCTACAGAAAAATCGGAATTTAAATCCACGCATAACTCCTGTGCACCTTTTCCCATTCCAATGACTTTTTTGAAACTGTATCCGTGCTTATACCATGTGTGGCGGCAGTGGACTGATGTGGCGTTGGTGTTCGGATCAGGGGAGGCAACAGTTCAACCCACTCGGGCAGTCAAGCATGTCGTCCTGTGTCCCTGGGCCAAGACAACTTCAGCCCCAAAATTGCTCCTGTGGGGATTGGGCCGCGGGGGTAAATTGAGTATGGGTAATAATGGCGGATTTACACTACAGGCCTCGTGACGCTGCATACAACTGCCATGACGTCACCTTCAATGCGACACAACTCACAAAACACACAACAACAATGGAGGATGTGGAAGCCATCGTGTCCTTGCTTCTTGGTATGTGTTTTTTTCTTCTTAGGTTCACTGTTTTCAAAAATGCTGCAAGGTTCACTGTTTTCAAAAATGTTGCAAGCGTCCCTTAATATATGCGACACGAGGCATTAAGTCGCGCGAGAATTGTGACGATTCTCTCTGACCAATCAGCAGTCGTCACTAGTTTAGCATATTCCGCCCGCTTGTTGGCCCCGCTTGTTGGCCTCGATAGAACCACGATTTAGTCGGGCCAGAAAAAAGGTGAAAAAGTAGTCCCGGGCCAAATCTAGGCCAAGTGGAAGCGCAACCAAAAACGGGCCCCGCACGGCTCGGCACGCTTAAAGCGAGCTCCGCGCTGCAGTGTGAATGCGCCATTAAAGGCTTGAATCTCCAGTGATCTATTTCCTGAAGAAGAAGGTATTGTATAATCAGAATAATTGTTAACTACAATATGTGTCGGGACATATTCCTACACTGTTGGTCAAGGTAATACATGATTGGGTTTTTGTTAAACTTTTAATAAAAATAAGGTATACTGTCTTTTTTATTTTCTCTTTTCAGAAAAAAATATTACATTATTGGTTATTTAATTAAATGTTCCATCATTCAAAGTGCACGTTTTATTACACTATTACAGTACAGTATTTTTTTTACTATTACAATTTCAATAAGGTTACATATTACATATTTTGCACTGCCAATAAGGTTAAGTGAAATATATATTGAGGAAATAATCACATTATGGGGTTTTTAAAATTCAACTTTTGATCAGGTTAATTTCAATTTTTCAAGATGTGATTTGATTTCTGGGTGGCTCACCTGTCGGACATCTCTTTCCACTTGGTGAGCATGCGTCGCGGCCGGGTCTCCATCGGCATGTTGAGTCTCCGGGTCAGAAAGCCACAGACGCCCTGCTGCTCCAACAGCAGAGGGACTTTGTAGATGGAGGAGACGTCGTGCACACAGATCACCTGAGGACAGGACACGCGTTCAGAAAGAGTCTGGATGGTTTATAAAAGGTCCCCTATTCTACTGTCTTTCATCAATATATCATAGGTCTCAGATATATACAGAGCCTGTCTCTGATTGGCTGAAACACCAAACAGATAATTGCAGAGATTACCCATAATCCCCTCTGTTTCAGCCCTGTTTCCAAAGTGCTGATTCTCTGTCTGTTACTTTAGATGAAAATAAGGAGACCCTCCTCACGCCCCTCTGAGAGAGATTTGGTTAAAAAGAACACAATGGTGCTCTAGGAGGAGATTCAGGTGATAAGGGGGGGGGGGGCGGTTACCTTGGTTGCTGATTGGCTAATGGTTACACAAGACAAAACAAAAATCTGCTCATTTTCAGACAGGTTTTTATAGAAATGGACAGAGGGGACACATGTCGATGTAGAAGAGACATGAAGAAGAGGGGACACATGTTGATGTAGAAGAGACATGAAGAAGAGGGGACACATGTTGATGTAGGAGAGACATGAAGAAGAGGGGACACATGTTGATGTAGAAGAGACATGAAGAAGAGGGGACACATGTTGATGTAGAAGAGACATGAAGAAGAGGGGACACATGTTGATGTAGAAGAGACATGAAGAAGAGGGGACACATGTTGATGTAGAAGAGACATGAAGAAGAGGATTTTGCCTAATAGGTGACCTTTAAAGGTTCTGCAGGGAGAGACGTACCTGCTCAGGTTCTACGTGACAGAACATGGAGATCTTGTCTTTCACCGAGTTCTCCAGAGCCGTGGCGCAGCGGCACATGATCTGCAGAGAGAGGAAACATCAGGAACCCAGAGACACTGGCAGGAGGCAAACTGAACACACGTGCATCATTGAATAAACTCAATGACCTCAAACAATGTTCGTTTAGTTTGCCTCTCTGCTACAGTCTTATATTTACAGAAAGCAAAATAGGAATGTTTGCTTAAGCAGATCACACACACACACACACACACACACACACACACACACACACACACACACACACACACACACACACACACACACACACACACACACACACACACACACACCAGATCGGGGGACAGTCCGAGTCCTCTGAGCTCTCTGACCGTGTTCTGTGTGGGTTTGGTTTTCTGCTCTCCTGTCGCATTGGGCTGCACACAACAACAGACACACACACATCATTATTATTATTAGTCTGCATGTTTGTTAAACTGCAACATCCAACATGACACACGTGGACAAAACAGGCCCTTTGATAAAATACTAGAAATAAAAACACTTTGGGCAGATAATAGATAACGCTAGTTCACTTCAACCTGTTGAACCACGAGCCTGTTTTTCAGGCCTCAGGCTCGAAAATGACATTCCCAGAACAAAGGACCATATCTTCACTTCTAAAAGGGGTAAATTAATAATCGTGTTTCTCAAAGCATTGATAAACCTGTGAGTTGGATGTAGAAGAATCAAAATAGCATTTTTTTTATTTTAAAGTAAATTCAGATTGAACATAGTAAAAAAATGTAAATTATAGTTTCTGTCCAAAAAGAATCCATTACTTATAGTGNAGCTCAAAAATATTACCGAGGTCCGGACCCCGGTGACCTCAATGGTGGATACGGCCATGGTAGGCGGGGCGATCGGCTTTTTGGCGGGCTGAGCGACGCTGCATAGCGTCGCTCAGCCCGCCAAAAAGCCGATCGCCCCGCCTACCATGGCCGTATCCACCATTGAGGTCACCGGGGTCCGGACCTCGGTAATATTTTTGAGCTGTGTACAAAACTTGTGAAATAACTGCACTAAACTGGGTTCTTTGTAGTACTTCCATTTACTGACGATGGGGGCGCTGCATAACTACGTAGCCTCGATTAAAGCAAACAGAAGAAGACGACATGTATCAACAAACCACCGCAGCACGGACTTGTATCGGATCAGCGGAGGAGTGATGAGGTATCTAGAGATCTGAGTCCAGAGGAGGAGTGATGAGGTATCTAGAGATCTGAGTCCAGAGGAGTGATGAGGTATCTACAGATCTGAGTCCAGAGGAGTGATGAGGTATCTAGAGATCTGAGTCCAGAGGAGTGATGAGGTATCTAGAGATCTGAGTCCAGAGGAGTGATGAGGTATCTAGAGATCTGAGTCCAGAGGAGGAGAGATGAGGTATCTAGAGATCTGAGTCCAGAGGAGGAGAGATGAGGTATCTAGAGATCTGAGTCCAGAGGAGGAGAGATGAGGTATCTAGAGATCTGAGTCCAGAGGAGAGATGAGGTATCTAGAGATCTGAGTCCAGAGGAGGAGAGA